CCCCAACACACACCTTGTTGGACACCCGACGATTGACATTTATCATACGCTCCTGCATATACTTAAGCCGTTTCTGGTACGCCTCATGTCGTTTATCCAACAGTGCGTTCAGTTTGCGCGTGTCGAATACAGCGGGTCTAAACTGCTCGTGTGGATCTGAGAGGGTGATCTCTTTGGGCTTCAGTGAGCCTGTAGTGAGTTGGTACTCGGCTTTACCAGTCATGCGCAGGCTCTCCAACTCAGTCTCAAGCGCGTCCTCTTCGCTGTCACGCTTAGCACTGTGAGGAAAATATCGGCAAAGATAACGCCAGTACCGAATGGTGCATGAGGAGTAGCGCCGAGGTATGCCTGTATGTACCCGCGGAATCGAATAAGTGCATGACCATATCGAACTGGACATATGATATATATATATACATATACATACATACACACACACTCACACACACAAATATATATATATATGTATATACTTAAATATATAAACATGATGAGATTTGTATGCATACATACATATAAACAAATACACATACACAAATACATAGATACATACACACACACACACACATATATATTTATATACATAGATATGTATACCTTTATATATACACATATCTACATATATACATACACATACACACGCACACGCACAAATACACATACATATGAAATTAATTTTCGTACTGTAGATTACCAAGCTAGATTCGGCACAGACTGTGGCATGCTCACCTGTTCAATAGTATTAGCACGGGTGCGTGTCGTCATGCACATACACACAGAAACATGGTCGGATCCTTTCAAGATATACACTTTCACGTAGGGAGAAATATCGATACCGGTGATTCTTCTAAGAACTCGCGAGTCTCATACATATATACACGTCTGCTAAATCACGTACAATAAAGTATATAAGCCCGCCCTATAGTATTTATATGAATATATTTATATCAAAGGAAAACTGCTATGTAGACAGTACACGCCTCGAGGGCAAGTTTGGACTGTGACCATCAATTCCGCACACGCGCGTTAAAAACAGCCAACCCTTTTCTCACATGATGAAACTGCTCCTTTAGGTATGTTACCCCAATAAACTACGAAGCCACACACACGCAGGCCTTGAATTGATCCCATCAGCTGATAGGGCAAGCTCACACCCTTGTATTAATAACAAGGCAAATGCCAGAGTTACTTCCCACAGGTACAACTATCACACACATACAATCCACCCTCTCATCTCGCACTCACACCCCGAAACGCCGTAATCAAGCACACTAACACTAAACACTGCAAACAGAACCCTAACCTCAGCATCTGCCGAATGTCCTTCGTTTGCCTTTTTGGGACTCTACACGATGATAAGTTGTTATCGTACGGACTGACCCTCCATGGCTTGAGATATCGCCGATGTGTTCTATTTATAGATGTTGCGCTGGGAGCGAAACAGTTTCGCCCACTTGCTTTGCGCGAGTATCGAGGTACTATGGGGTACCACAAGCGGTCCCATTCGCTCTGTGAGGTGAGAAATGACATACAGAATAAGTAGGAAGCATGTGTAGCACAGACAGAGAATGTATAGGAACAAACAAATACACACACACAAACACAGGCACACACACACACTTATATATGTACATATGTACGTATGTATATGTATATATATACATATGCACGTATTTATATGTATAGTGAACTATCTAACTATCTATCTACCTACATATCTAGCCATCTAGCTGTCTGACTATCACCTATATATATATATATATATATATATAATATAGATATAATAATATATATATACATACATAATATATATATATATATATGTATATATATATATATACATTCATATATATTCAGTAGGGCATTGTACATATATGCAATCGCTGTACTTACCTGGGGCCGGACACTAGGACGAATGTGTGCGTCCAAAGACAACGGCATGGGAATTGTGCTGTCAAACGCTGACCTAAGCGAAGATGCCGGCGTACCTTTTTTTGCAAATTTTACGTTTTCTACAGCCTTCACATAATCAGCACCCTGTACGTTAACTCGACTATCCGAAGCCGTACCCGGGCTAGTACGTGTGGCGATAGGCCTTTGCAGTGTATCCACAGGCTCTGTGATATCTTCTTGGTTCTCCCGTGAAAGAGTTCGGTTAACGGTGACAGGGAACACAAACCCAAACTTTGCCGGAGTGTGTAGGGTTAGGTTGCGTGGGTTGGTCTTGGCCATAGATTGAAAATAAACCGTGCGTCTCTGTTTGGCGAGTCTTTCATTCCCCGCAGCCTCACTGGCAGCGACTTTGGGTCCAGAGAGAGAGAGAGAGAGAGAGAGAGAGGAGGTAGGGTTAAGGGTTAAGTTAGTTAGTTAGTATGTGTGTGTGTGTGTGTGTG